TTGAAAAATATTGAAAATAAAACAGAGTTTTGTCAATAAAATGACCACAAAACGTTTCTTCCAGTTTCTTCTTCTGGTTATTCTAGTCCATATTCTGCGGCATATCAATGTAGTTTTAGACTACTTGAAACCATTTACTGCTACCTATCGAAAATGTAGTGTATTAAAGGCTATAATTCATATTTGTTAAATTAACATGGGTTACATTTGTTTTTTTTTAACAGTATTCAGCCAGTTTGTAGCTTCCCAACTTAACTACACAGCTAACTTTGGAGGTTCCTCCATCTTTTCCATTTCAGTATTTATTTAAATGTTTTACAAACTTAATTTTTGATTCAGTTTCCTGAAAAATATTGTTTTCTCCTGCAATGCAAGAGTAAAAGACATTACAACATTAACTCTGTAAATCTTCATATTTCGCTGGTGAAACTCATAAAATCCTGATGAGAAGGTAACCGCGCTGCGAGGGTAAAATGATGTTGAAATCGTGTTATCTCATGTTTAGTTTGGGGATCAAGGTACGTATCTATTTGTAAACAGTATACAATTGTAAATGATTTATTTTCTGTAACTCAAACACATGATGATTGGGAGGTTTGTACTGTGTGAGTGAAGGTGGGATGCAGTCCTTGTTATTTGCAGCTCTTTACTCAGAGGATCCCACCAGTCAGTCATGGGTCGTTCTAGGAACCAGATGTCGACATGGACACTGTGCGTGTTCTTATGCATGATTGGAGCTAACATGGCCAATCCGTAAGTTTACAAAATGTCTGGAAGTACTNGTTATTACTTAACTTTCATCACTACCTTATTCTCTCCCAGGTGACCGGGCTGAGAGAGAGTATATTGCGGCGAATCAAGGTAAAAATATTACAACATCAAACCAAAACATATCGATAGTCTTATTAAAGTAATAGTGTCAATATGCCTAATTGAAAATATTGTCTCAGTGTGGAAAAAATATTTGACTGCAATTGTTCTTAAATGTAACATAGGTTTTTTTTCTTCTCTTCCAGCTTAAAGTGTGACGTGCCATCAGTCCTGAAGTTGTTTGCTGATTTTGTTCTATAAAATGGAACTAAAATGTATTTTCGTAGGGATACTTTTGCATGTAGTATCTCTAAATTAAGTTTGTAAAACATTTAAATAAAACATAAAACATTTTAATCACAGTAATCATGCTAAATGTTTTACAAATGATTACATAATCTATCATTTATCTTTTGCTTTTACATTAATATTGTAACTATGCAGTGTTGGGAATAAAAAATTGCGTCAATGTTTGGCTTACATTATTATTATTAAATGTGATTGTTATATATTTATAACAGATGATGAGTTTTGGTTAATGTCAGGTTGTCATAACAAAGACATTTAGAATAATGTAATTATAATGCAATAACAACTTCGCATTAAAGTGTCATTATTTACCAAATGAGACTTCATGGCAACAGTCATAATTATTCATAAAGACTTATTCATGTTTATGACAGGGTCATGTAAGTCTTATTCACTCCCCTTCTAATAAAGTATTTCCAGATTTTCTTTTTAATGAACAGCAAATAAAATGTGTTAAACTATAAGGGCTTACTGTACTATCCAGGTTGGTGTAAGATTTTTACAATGTATTAACTTTTCTAAAAGATTGTGTCATAGTATTAACACAATAGTTTAAAATTAAATATTATAAAATTTTATTTGTGTAAAACTTTGTACTATTCTGGTAAGGCACCTGTAACAAAGGAATCGGTGACTATGAATCTTTACAATTAAATAGCGCATCAGAACTAGGTTCAACTCAGGAGGAGCGAGGGAAACAATGTGTTGAACAAAACACATTTATTACACATTTTGACAATAATGA